GTGACATACGATATGCTCAGGCAAGGAAACGCAATGCATCTTTAAAAAAATAATTATGAATGCTCTACGATAAATGAGAGTACATTTTAAACTGTTGTATTACTTTAAAGACCAGTAAGACAAAATTAACGATATTGTGTGGGACTTCCAAATAATATTTTCCGGTGACCGTTTTTCAATTCTCTCCGATCCAAAATGAATGCATATGAAAACTGGCAAACGTTTTTCACAGTCAAGTTATATCAAGTTTGATTTGCCCACGGTGACCATATAAAAATTAAAAACCTTTTTCAGACAGGGTGACATTGATTTAATAGAATACGTAAATAACCTGTAACTGGGAAATCCAAACTCTAATCGTACATTTAAACCTATAACGTTAACACATTGTACCTTTTCTCTAAACAATGCTAAACCAAAACTTCGAATGATGAGGGAGACACATTAATTAATCAAAGCACTGAAAGTACTGTTGGAAGGAAATTTTCATAGAAATACCTAATGCGTGTGAATTAAAAACAAAGGAATATGTGCAAGCTTCAATCTACAGCTAGCTGATTTGATGACGTAAAATGTGACGTCATTGTTTCCGTTTTTGCACTACTCATGTTCAGTGGGCTGATAACTAGTTCTTTGCCCAGGGCCCCAAACCCATAAGTTGTGACACTCATAATCAGTTGAAATCATAGGCAATTCTGTTACTAATATAGTAATTAGTGAATTAATAGATAATACTACTGCATTAATTTATGCACACAAAGAACCACTCAGTTTGACCTAAATCGGCCATGACTTAAATGACTACTTCATAGGAATTCAAGACCATGCCATAAGCATTATTTAATTATAGTTAATGAAGAGACTTTTTATTTTAAACTCAAGGACAAGTAAAGCTCATCATGTGCTTACATTTGTAAGTTCTAACATAACTAATTGTGTTTTAGTATGAAATTGATGTACATGCTGTTAAAGTCATAGCAAAACAAAGAACAATGATTTAAAATAAACTTTTATTGTCAAAACTTGCATAAAAGTAAAAATATATGTTATATAAAAAATAAATGATTAAATATATAGAGATAATGAAATTTAGTTTGTCAGATAAAATGTGTAAAAGGAACTCCACTGAGGTTTTTTGACATGATGAGAATGAAATTTATTTTTCTAGATTAATGTACCACTTGATGTATGTTTTGACCACTAATCTTTGAGAAAAATTTCAGATCATTTGCGCACTTCGTTTTTCAAGAATAATTATTCAAATTGTAAAAGAATTACCCAAAATGAAAGCGTTTAAACACATATCACGCAGATCAGGCTGAGAAAAGCATAAAAAAAAATTGATTTTCAATTTATTTCAAAGTATATTTCTTCACTATCTGTGCATATATTTCTGTATCAAGTGCCCCGGCTCATTTCTGTAGAAATTCAAATGTTATGTTTTAGGCTTTTAAACCTCAATGGAGTGAGTCCCTTTAAATTATTGGTACATATTGAGGTGATACAATTTATAACAATCTGAAAGAAAGAAGCTTTAATGCAAACGGCCAGTAATATAGGAGGTGCTGTTTTAAGGATTTTTTACAATGTACAAGACTGACATTATACAACAAAATATAGTCAAAAGTAGAAATGTGCCCATAGGACTTGAATGCCTGCGTTAAGTACAATGCTTATATTGAGTGGGTAATCAAAAATATGTACATAATTAGACAAGCCCACTGGCAGCATATACCAAGCCTGTTGCCATTATTCAGAACTGAACCTTAAAGCTTCAGATTGGGGAGAAAGATGTATACATAAGTGAGCATTTGTGATAAATGTTATGAAAATCCAGCCATGTATATAGAAATATACTCTCATGTTTTAAGTTATTATCTGACTTTTGATCCAAAGTAGTGACCTTGATCTTTGCAACAGACACCTGATTTTTCATACTACACTCCAACTCACTGAAGACTGTTAAATTTTGTCCAGAGTTATATGAAAAATCTTTATAGATTTCAAAAGCATTCAAATATTATCAGTTATAAATCATTTTTTTTGCATATGATTTGGTAAGGAATGCATAATGTTGTATAAATTTTGTGGAATGTAACTGAAATCATACTTGACCTGTTGTTTTGATACATTGTTGAATATACCAGTTATAAATTGAATCCTTAAAAGGTGTACAAATCTTATTGGTTAGCTTACAAGAGCATTTCTGTTTTCATAAATTACTAGGTAAAGTACAAAGAATGATATTGTTACAATTTTATGAGCCATCACATCAAACCGTGATCAATGTAATATGAAGTATGGGAAATAAGTAACAAGAAGTGCATGTTTAACTAAAACAGAATGTATGATTCAGAGGAACACTGTAAAAATAAAGTAAATAATGTTAAAAAAAACAAAAAAACAAAAAAGAACATAAAAAAAGTTGACCATCATTTGGACTTTCATGAGTTGGCCATGCTAATCTTAGAATAAGAACATAAATAAAATACAACATTATACAAAAGGTAGTACAAAAAATACAATGATCAAAAGTTTGAAAGTGAACACTTGTTGGTAAAATAAACAAGAATTTGTAACAGAGATACCAACGTCCCCCGCCTCAGGGAAGTTTTATATGAAGCAAAAAATTGTGCTATTTCAAAAGATTGAGGCAGGGATCTAAGGATTTTCAGTCCAAAATTATGATCAATGCTGGATCTGCAAATGCAACAATAAATTTATTAAAGAAATCTAATGAAATACTGAATTTCAAAATATATCATGTTATGCTTTGCAGGGATTTTTTGGCTTATTTTATAGCCGTTATTGGGACATATTCCCAATTGAAAATAGTATATTATTTTCCCAATCCAAAGGAAAATATTCCCAATTGAAAGTTACAAAAATATAAATATTGAATAAAGAATTCTAAAATCTTTGAAAATAAGGGCTTCTTTACTGTAATAGTGTTTAAATGTTTGAAGAAGCCATCCTAGGCAGTGATTGCTTTTTAGTCATACATTTTTTCCCAATTTTAACAAAATATCGCTGAAATTCTCAGTTGCATGGGTATGGATTATGTTCCCAAAATCCTGGAAAAAATCCCTGCTTTGACCTCTTAGTGTGACCTTGACCTTGGAGGTAGGGGTGCAGGTGTTGTGCATGACATATCATCTTATAATTGTGACTATTTGTGCCAAGTATTTTCCAAATCCCTTCATCTATGAAGAAGTTATGGACGGGGCATAAAATATACCATATAACAGACTTTGTTACCTTTATACATTTAAGTGTGACCTTGACCTTGGAGGCAGGGGTGCAGGTGTTGTAATTGACATATCGTCTTATTATTGTGACTATTTGTGCCAAGTTATTTCAAAATCCCTTGAACTATGAAGAAGTTCTACATTGGACACAATATATACCCTTTAAAAGACTATGTTAATTTTTTACCTCGAAATGTGACCCTGACCTTGGAGGGAGGGATGCAGGTGTTGCGCTTGACACATTGTCTTATTATAGTGAATATTTGTGCCAAGTGTTTTCAAAATCCTTTGATATACAAAAAAGTTATGGACCGGACAAAAAAAATACTCTATAACAGGCTATGTTAATCTTAGACCTCCAAGTGTGACCTTGACCTTCTAGGTTGGTGACCGATTGTTGCGCATAACACATCATCTCATTGTTGTGAACAATTGCGGCAAGTATTTACAAAATCCTTTCAAAGATAAGAAAGGTATAGACTGGACACGAGATATACCCTCAAATGGACAATGTTGACCTTGAATGAGCAAGTGTGACCTTGACCCTGAAGGTAAGGGTCTGGTTGTTGCACATCATCGTCTTATTATAACAAACATTTGTGCCAAGTTATTTCAAATTCCTTCAATAAATGACAAAGTTATGGACCGGACACGAAATATACCCTGTAACAGGCTATGCTAATATTTGACCTCCAAGTGTGACCTTGACCTTGGAGGCAGGTGACCTGTTGTTGAGCATGACACATCTTCTCATTATTGTGAGCAATTGTGGCAAGAATTTACAAAATCCCTTTAGAGATAGGGAAGACCAGACACGAGATATACTCTCAAAAAGACAAGTTGACCTTGAATGAGCAAGTGCGACCTTGACCCTGGAGGTAGGGGTCTGGTTGTTGACATGACTCATTGTCTTATTATAACAATTATTTCTGCCAAGTTATTTCAAATTCCTTCAATAAAAGCTTGAAGTTGATAAAGATTTGTTCATACATATTTCAACAAGATTGTTGAACAAGAGGGCCATGTGTATATAGGCCCCTGGAGCGGGGCCAGTTTAAAACCCAGGGCTTTTATTTGACCAAACTTGTAAGACACCCGTTAGAAGATGTTTCATGATGTTAAGTTTTTACTACACACATATAATGTAAAACAAAGACCTCTGCACCACCCCCCACCTCGGCATGGCCAATTTTTATACAAGGGCTTAAATTTGAACAAACTTGGTCGACACCATAAGATGTTTCATGCTAAACATCTAGGCTCTAGCTCATTGGGTTTTTTAAAAGAAGATTTTTTAAGTTTTTACTATACACAAATAGTTAAAAACAATGAAACCCCTGGGGTGGGGCCTTGTACACACTTACCAGAAGATGTTTCAAAGAAGGTTTTTAAGTTTTTGCTATACACATATAAGGAAAATCACCCCCGGGGAGGGGCCAATTTTGACCCCAGGGCTTTTATTTGAACAAACTTTGTAGACACTTACAAGAAGATGTTTCATGCTTGATATCTAAACTCTAGCTATTTTGGTTCTTTAAAAGAAGATTTTTAAGTTTTTACTATATGCATATAGGGGAATTCAATGACCCCCTGGGGCGGGGCCAATTTTGACCCCCAGGGCTTTTATTTGAACAAACTTGGTAGACACTCACTAGAAGATGTTTCATACCTTTAAAAGAAGATACTTTGTCTAAGCTCTAGCTCTTTAGGTTCTTTAAAAGAAGATACTTTAAGTTTTTTCTTTTGGTTGCCATGGCAACCAGCGTTCTATGAACAATATTTAGAGGTGACCACCAAAGAAACATTCCTGTGAAGTTTGGATGAAATTGGCTTAGTGGTTTATGAGGAGATGTCATTTAAAGTGGACGCCAGACGAAAAGCGATCAAAAAAGCTCACCCTGTCACTTTGTGACAGGTGAGCTAAAAATAGTTAAGTGATCTTATTTTCCTGGTGAAAAACTGGTGGCTCAATAAAGTTCTATACATATTATGATATTTCAAATATTGGAAAGTTATCTCTAGTTCTTGGTGAAAGACTGGTGACTAGTTTTCTCCTCAATGTCATTTCTTTTTCTTATTAGATTAAGTCATGGTACTATATTCATGAGGCTTTCGACATCACATCTAAGAACTCATTATCTAACATTGCAAAGGGCAGGCAGTCTCCTGATATTCCAATTCTTTTAAAGTTTATAAAACCACAATATTTCTATTTCTTTAGTGTTTCAGACATGAAGACACATCTTATTCTACATGTATCTTTCCTTATCACTCCTGCTTTTACTGTTCTATCATATAAGCGCCTCTGTTTCCTGAAATATTTGTTTAGAAAAAGTTAATTGCAAAATTAAAATTTCACTTGTAAACCCTTGCCGAGAACGAACTTACAGCAGTGAAAGGCTTAAAGGTTTAAAATCAAGAAACTAAACCAATCAGTCACAGACACCCCAAGTACTTTATCTATTTGCTAAGCAGCAATTTTTTCAAAATTATTTAAATTCATAAATGTGAGTGATTCTGATAAGCTATAGACAGCTAAGTGATGATAAGATGATCATATATGTCAGATATGTCGGAGTACTAACACTACTTACTGTGAATATTCAATATTTTAATGTGAATTGTCCTGAGGTAAAAAGGAAAAGAAAGCTGAAATCCTGAATACATGTTACATGTCACAATTGTTCTTGCAATTAATTTTGTTCCTAATTTCTTGTATAAGATATTTAAATACACTGTAATTCTTTTTTATAAATTTGGCTTTTTGTGACAATAGTCTATCCAGTGACCGAAGCTCACAGACTTAAAATAAACTGTCCTGTGTCAGCCTTTAAACAAGTCTAGAAAAAAAAGCTATCAGAATATAATAATTAAGAAATATCATATACAAATACTTCTAAATAATCATGTACCTCTTCCTTAAAAGCCCATGCTATTGAAAGAGACATTTTTTCCATTTGTTCACTTCAAGGTTAGTCAGATTGACAGTCTCACATTTTAGCCTTTATCACTCGTGATTTCATTGTCATTGACCCTAAAGCATCCTTAAAATCGATATCCTGCCAGTGATTTTCTTTCTTATATAACAGACTCCGAAAAAAGGCCTCTTCCCAATTGAAATTTTCTTTAAAATCATGCAGTTTTCCCAAAAATCTGATCTTAAACCAGCTTTTTTCTTCCCAAATCAGTAATCTTACGATAATTTTTCCCAAAATCAAGAGGATTAGGCCTTTTCCCAATTAAGTGAGAAAAATCACTGCCTGCTGTTCACATTCATAAATCTGACATGTAGGCCGAACTTCTGAAACATAAAATATAATTATTATTAGATATACATATAGTATGCCAATAATTATGTTAGTTAATATCAAATCAATAATTTAAGCAGTGTTCGAAATTAGCAGTAGTCTGAGAGTCCGACTACTAAATTTCTCCTCGGGCTATCAACTTTTCACAGTAACAAGCCCGACCAGGCTACTGTATTTTCAGAGGCAATATAAACAACTGTTTTGAACAAATGAATCGTGCTAGTGAAATGTCTTTTGGACAAGTGAATATTCCAATCTAGTAGTCTGACCAGCCTAGTCGATTCAAATCCTAATTTCTTACACTGTTTAAGAAACAATTTGTTCAAAATTGTCCAAGCATAAAGATTTTTATAGTATACTATAGTAATTATAGTGTATATACAGTATGTATTAAATGTCTTTACTATCTACTATACTGTCCTGAAATTTCAAGAAAACAACTATCTTTAAAATCCATTTTCTCAGAAGTTGCAAAAAACCAAGTAAATGAAATTGCTCTGGGTTTGTATTATTCTGTACAACTTCTGATCACAAAAGCTTCAAGGACATCATGAGTGAGTCAGGTCCTATCCTGAAAGATTGTTGTTCAAGTTTGAAGACAATCCATTCAAAAATAACAAATTATAGCCACTAATAGCAAAAATCAAGAAAATTTAGACATTTACCTTGAATGTTAATATGGTGGTCAAGTTAATTTAGTTTAGTCTGGTCTATTTGAAGGGTTGTTGTGGCCAAGTATGAAGACAATACACCAAGATCTGAAAAAGTTATGAACAAGGTTAAAGTTTGATGACAGCAATGGGAAAGCCGTCATGACTAACAATATATTTAATAATTTTGGCCCTTAATGCAAACTGAAAATTCTAGCCTATAAACACTGTTGAGACTAGCTGTTCAGCATTTTTTCAATAATAAATAAATGCAATGATAAAGTCGGTAACTTGCAAGTCTTCTAACATTTTTACAAAGAATGAACATATATACAGTGATTTTTTTACAAACTCATCAGTGTGGGTCCTTAGTACTCGCTGGGCTATAAATCTATGAGTCCCATAATTTAGCCGAACAAATCCAAGTTACAAATCTTAATACTGCTTAAGTGATATGACAGGTTATTAACAATGGAATGGAGAAAAAAATGAATTTGATTTCTATATTAATTACAATGCTTCTGATACTGAAATTATTCAAAACTGTCAAATAAATTTAATATGTTTATTTCCATTAATTTAGTTTGATATTAATCAAAACTTCATTTTCCTTAATATTTTTAAGCTTACCTATAGTATAGCACATTATTATATCTTAGCTGGACCTAGAATATGATTGACATAAGTTGAACACTATTTGGCATTAATTTTAATACCAAATTTCTGTCAGACAGGACTCCCTACTTAGAAAAAGTATGCATCCAAAAGATGCACATTATTTGAAACTTTGCATCCATAGCAAATTCATTGAGTTCTGGACTCAGAATGCAAAGGTAAAAAAATCACTGATATATATTTTTTCCTTATAATTCTACAATGATGTTCAGTCATTTATATTATAACAAGATATCGGAAAGATTATAGATATATCAGAAATGAATTGGCCTGTGGACTTTAATGTCAATCATAGAGCTCTTATGCAAAATGTAATGGTAAGCAAACATCCAGCATGAAATTTTCAAGTAGCCACAAGTTAAATAAAATTATTAAAAATACTTTGTCATGATTCAATTACTGCTGGAAATTGACCCACATGTTTTATTACAAATTTATTACATCAATATTGTCCATAGAAATAATAAATTAATTTTCAGTCTCTTTCTCTTTGTGCTTTCACACAGATTTGAATTATTCAAGTCCATGATTTTCAGAAGGAAAAAAATCTTCTGATCATCAAACACTAAAAAATTACTATACCAACTGCAAATTGCAGTCTGTGCGAAAGGCTGCCTGTCCTCGGACCTCGCCAAATAAAAATCAAGAGGGCCATGATAAATTTTTATACAGTTATCGAATATCAATTGTACACAACAGTTGAATATAACATATTATAAACTTATTTCTATGTTAATAGATAGTCTATATACAATAGAAATGAAAAAGCAAATCCTTCACAACAGTCAACACTGTAAATTCGAATCAGGGTCAGATTGGCCCTTAAACGTATTTGGCCCTCGAGACAGCTCGGCCCTATTCCAACTCAGCACGGGTCAACTCGGCCCATAATTACATAATTACTGATAATGATTACTTTTCTTACTTTTGATATGTTTTCATCATAACTGTCATGGTTTAACATTTTCACACTAACAGACATCTACTCAAGGATATTGAAAAGTATGTGAAATTGTAGAGAAAGAAAGAATTTACAATTTAAACGCATTTTATGCTACTCCAGATTTTTTTGTAAAAAATATCGTTAAACAAGCATTTGCCATATTAAAAAACAAACAGTATTAAATACAATAAAATTCATTGTCACAAAAATTCAATCTAAAAACTCTATTTACAGTATTGATTAATATTTAACATATATATATTGTCTTGATATCTCTTCTTAAGATAATTATTTATCTTAAAGATAATTTCAAACAATATTTTATTAACTAAACAATCTAAACAATCTATATCCTAATAGGCTATATGGTTTTAATAGAGGACCGAGTTGACCTGTCCCGAGTTGGTATAGGGCCGAGTTTACCTGTAAATTCAATAATGTAAACAATCCTTGACCTAATTTCGTTTGTCTAACAAATTAACATCTGCAAACACAAAACGATTTTGAACAAAGAAATAAAAGCATTTCCACAAATTTTGCGATGTTATTCATCAGCAAATCTATGTCTTGGATGGAGAAATCTGAAAAACACGAACGTTATTCTGTCGATGGTCCGAACAATGGCGGGTGTGCCCTACTAAAACCAAGTTTTACCAAATTGCATCCGTTAATTCCAGAATACCTTTGAAATACTTGTATTGTTATCTTGTTTTTTATTATTTATATAATAATATTTTTGTTTCAAACGCTTTGATTCTATGAAAGTTTGCGAACCATTTTTTTGCGAAAATAGTACGCTTTTTTAAGGCCACATATTGTATCCATTGTTTCCTCTTGAGTTATTGACGTAAAAAAATCAGCGGTGGCATAAAATGCTATTCAATAAATTGCTAAATATATACAATAAATACTTTCATTTCCCTTCGGCTGACTTACATGTGAATTTTTCAGCATCTCTGCTACAAAATTACACCTTATTTATATTCAATTTATTGTACATAGGTACATGGACACAAACTTTTCTTTGGCCTAATGCGTAATAATACTGATGTTTTTTTTTCGTACACGTTTGAGATTATGTTCCATTGATGTTAGCTAACATTGAATATCATCATTTCAAGTTTTTTTGAACATCAGCTTTTTCTTCAAGTCATCCACGTTTGAAAGTATACATATAGTTCTGCTGCACTACTTTCTTGGTCGCATTAACTACTTATTTTCTATTGAGCTTAAACAGAATGCAATTAGGTGTTGTTCGTTCTTTTTGATATAGGCAGACCGATACTATAGAAAGGAAATTTTTTTTTGAAAAAATTTCCTTCCAAAAATGGGCTGCCTATTGATGCTGGTCACTTTAAATGACTTTTTCTTCTTAAACTTTCTACGTTCTACCACAACTTTTATTGTTTTGATTAATTAAAGATAAAAAAGCGAAAACTAAGATGAAACAAAAGTAAGGACACTATTGATAGTAAAAAAACATACTATTGGTATTGAAAGCCTGTTTAAGTATGTTATTTTCTACATCAATTGTTTCATATAAATGTCATATCAATAGAGTTAAAATAGAAAATAAATTCGTCGTCGAAAAAAATACATAAACATAAATACCCTTATACCTCTAAAAATTAAAGTGGACGATTCGTTTCCCGATCTTCTATTTCTACAACCGAACGTCACTGGAGCTCTTTAAATAACTCACGGGATCCGGTTTTGGAGTAGACCTAGCAATAATATAATGCACTTTTCCAAGAAAACAAATTAATGAAATATTAAGTTTGAAACAACACAGAGTTTTTTGACCTACAAAAATAGTAAAATCTGAAGGCGCTTTAAATGCAGTTTGAAACACTGAAGTACACCTATTTGCTCTAGATACGTATGATGAATGTTGACATATTTTATTTGTATTACAGTCCTATCTGATGCATGATTCAACTTGAAATGTTTAAACTAAAATAATTCAAAAGGAAAGGGTAAGATTTTGTTATTAATTGCGAAAACAAAACACATTTCACCATGTAAATGTTTTCAATCGTACAACCCTATAAGAATTAACCAAGTTAATTTGTATAATGCTAGATACTTCATTAAGACTTTAAGTTAGTGTTTGAAATTACTGTTTTTCCAGTAGGATTGCAGTATTTCAAACGAATCGTAACCCATTTATTTTGGTAAATCGGTAAACTGTTAATGGGTCTAGTAAATCGGCTGTTTTATAAAAAATGATTTAAAACACTAAGCTGGTTAAAAGTTATAAGTACGACTGACCAATTTAATTTTGTAAATACGTACTAATAAACTTTAATCCTTACTAAATAATCTAATGGTTTATATAGTAATGTTATAGAAGTAAAATGTATCTGTATATATAGTTGATGACAATGAATTAGTAAATATGTTTTGCTCTCCAAATATGGTGGAAATAAAAGTATCCATCTAGCCAATTACCCTTCTAATTGTTAAACTCGAATCACCGAG